CATTTTCCTAGTGAGCTGGTTTGGAGGGAAAATCATGTTTTATAGCATAAACTTCCCATTGATTCGCGGTGAGAAAAACCTTTGTTTCTAGTAGTGAATCTAGTCCTCTTAACTTTGATGGATTCAACCTTAAGAAGTTCTTAATAATGAACTCATTTGCACTTACGAAATTATGGGTAACTTTGATGGATTCAACCTTAAGAAGTTCTTAATAATGAACTCATTTGCACTTACGAAATTATGGGTTCAAAATTTAATATTTGTTAGACTTTTAGTAGTTTTTCGCTTACACATATATATTTGTGTTCCAACACGCGGAACATAAGCTTTATTGTAACAAGATATAGTACCTCCATGAAAAAAATGTCAATTCTGCAGGTAATTACAGACAAAAACACATATATCTTTGGTTGAAGAGTTGATCTTTTCACGGACATCCGAATAGAGTGTAGGACAACTAGTTGTTGTGTTTCCTTCTAATTCTTCTGGTTGTTTAGCAATGCTTTTTGTGCACAATGAGCATTATTCATGTTTTTATTTGGCGCCGTTCATATCGGCTTGTGCATTGATTCTTGTATATTGGAAATGAATTGTAACTTACCAACTTTTATCACACTGTTCAAATATAAGATGCACATTGATGGGGTTTTAACTTAGGCTGATTTTTACGATTAGGCAGTTTTAAGTTACAATGAAAGGTGGAAAAGGAAAAGGTGCATTGAGAAAAGAAACAAGGTCGGCGTTGAAGCCTGTTGAGGACCGGTGAGTACCATTTTAAAGTTTGTTTGTTATTTCGGCTTTATATGTGAGTAGTTTTAGTGCTGCATAGACCTTACTCGAATATTAGCTGACGCTACGTTTTGGGATACGGAAATGGAGTTCCTTGGATTTTAGTTTTGACGGTATGTTGTAGCATAGTGATAAAAGGAGTATCATTTTAGTGACAGATCATGTTTTTCTCTCTTATTTTCAGAAAGATGGGGAAGAGAAAAGCCACATTGAAGGACGATAAAAAGAAGGTCACAAAGGACAAAAAGGCAAAGAAAGATCCTAACAAGCCTAAGAGGCCTCCTAGTGCCTTTTTCGTATTCCTGTAGGGGCTTCGTTTTCTTTTTATAATTAACTAGATTTAGTTGCATATCTATAGTTATGTGCTGTAACCGACAAATGATCATTCATGCTATTGCAGTGAGGAGTTCAGGAAGACATTTAAAAAGGAGAATCCTAATGTGAAGGCTGTTTCAGCTGTAAGCTTTTGATGATTATTTCATTAGCATTGCTTCATTTAATAGTTGTCCTGAGAAATTGTTAATATTATATATAAAGGTCGGGAAAGCTGGAGGAGAAAAGTGGAAATCTTTGAGTGCAGCTGTAAGTATTCTTCATCTCCTATAAAGTTGGTGATCCAAGTAGAGAACTTGGTGCAATGACCATTTTATATATGCCACATTGTTATATTGTTATACAAGTTAAATAATTTTGCAGAAGAAGGATATATATGGATTTGCTACTTTCCTTTTTATGGGACAAAATCTACATATTTAATATAATGAGGTCTCTTATAAGTTTGGTTCTACTTGTTGAAAGGAAAAAGCACCATATGAAGCCAAAGCTGCAAAAAGGAAGGCCGAGTATGGAAAGCTCATGAATGCTTACAACAACAAGCAAGTAAGCTTCCTATAATCTGTTTTCTTTTTAAGATTCGTATGATCTTTGAGCTGGAAAGAGAGGCTTCTTTCTTCTCACTTCATCAATGGAATTAGACGGAAAGCTCAGATGATGAGGACGAAGAAGAAAAAGAAGAAGAAAAAGAAAAAGAAAAAAAGTCAAAGCCTGAGGTACATGATGAAGATGCGGAGGACAGTGGGCAGGTATTAATAGCTTACGAAAGTCTAGTGTGTTTTTTAATTGACTCGATGCTTGCGTAAGTGCATCTAATAGATTTATGTTTGTGTTGACAAGACTGTTGTGGCTCACGGTTGCCCCCCGGCCCAAAGTTATGTTAGAGAATAGTTTCACTGATCATTCTAGTTATTTCATTAGGTCCTTTTCTTGGGGGCGGGGAGGGGGGATGCCCTTTTTGTCCTTAATGATGCATGAAGTGCAGTTTTGGTTGCAAAAAGGCTGAGGAAGCCGATGTTAAATGTTAAACTTTGGATGTTAATGCTTGATCCAAAATGGAACTTGTATACTCCGAGGGACATTGAAAACTAGAACTTGTGCCTGAAAAGGCAAGTTATGATAATTATTATAGTTGCTGGTGGTTTTCGACAAAATTATTGCCAAATTCATAACAGAGTTGATTTGAGTTCTGTGATTTGGTCATCTGCTCAATAAACTTTGAGAAGGCAAGCAATATAGTGCTTACCTATTATGAAGATAGTTAATTGATGTGTAAACATTTATACGTTCTCCTCATATGGGACTTCGATCCATTACCACTAGTGCTATGCTACTTTAATTGGGAAAAAGAGTTCTTTATTTCAAGTAGACTCATTTGTTAGAGTGGCTGCATTGTTTTGCTATCGGATTTACTAATGCTTGATAATCCTTAGGGCGAAGAAGAGGAAGAGGACGACGAAGACGAAGAGGATGAAGATGATTGAAGCTATGTAATTTCTGGCTTACACCGTTGCCTTGGTCCATGACATGCATGCTTCAAACATAATAGTTTTTGTACTTCTGTCACCTAAACATATGTATTTTCTGTTACCTAGTTGAGTTTTGCAGTTTGCTGAAACTCTTAACCCTGTGAACTTGTATATATATATATATATATATATACATGACCGATAAGTGATGTGGCATCTAATGCCATCACGTTGCTTTGTTTATTGTACTGTTTGTGATTGATATTGTTCTTTTCTCTATTATTATTTATATGTTTCGTTTGAGTTTATTGAGTTTCTGAATAAAAGCTTATTATATCTTTAGCTTAAACTATATTAATATATGCCCTATCAACCATAATAGGGAAGGTCCTTAATGGAATATCATCCGCCTTTTTATCCTTTTTAGGTATCTTCCATTTTGGATATAGTTTTGGTCATCCCTAGATGTGATGCATGAAGTGGACGTGGAAGTGAAAATTGATAATTATTATACATAAAGAGATGAGTTTCTAATATCTTTGAATCTATAATCTAAGGAAATGGGGAGATTGATGATGATATCACACATGCATTATATATTATTGGATCAGAGATGATGATATGGAGTTCCACATCTAGGGTATTGTGTGATAAGAGTGTGTCACCATGGATTAGAAGTCAAGTTCTAAGGAGTGATGGTCAGACCTACTTTGTTCTATGAGTAGAGTGATCACCTGTCAAGAACATACACGTCGTTTAGAGGATGAAGGTAGCAGGATGAGGATGCTCAAATAGATTTGTAGACATACTAGGAGAGATAAGATTATGAATGAGGTTATATGAGACAAGGTTGAAGTGAATTTTGTAGTGGAAAAAATTAAGGAAGCGAGCATGGTGGTTCGTACATGTGAAGAAGAGGAGCGCATGCATATGCACCATTAAGGAGGGGTGAGAAGCTTTACGAGAGGTATAGATAAGCCAAAGAAGAACTTTGGGGGGGAGGGGGGGAGGTAATTAGGCACACCGTATCGCTTCTTCAACTTACTAAGGATATAACCCTACACAAGATAAAGGTAAAAGAATAATAGCTAGTTGGTGTACATGTAGTATCTTATTTTCCTAATTTTCACCATTACATGTTTCATTTGTTTATTTATCTAGCTATTTTGTTGCCGACTTGTTTTCTTTCTATTATGCTTTGATTACAATTATTTTAAATTAATGGTCTATCGAGAACAACTTTTCTATCCTACAAAGATAGAGATAATGTCTGTATATTTTCTACCTCCGTTATCTCACTTATAAAATCACACTGGATATATTATTATTGTTTATATTCTTTATTTGAGCTATGTATGAAGTCTTAATATTTAGGATAAAAGGTTGCCTAGTTAAATATTGTTTTCTATATTTAGCCTTTAAAACCATATTTCAAATTAGATAAAACTAATTTCAGTTATTTTTTACTATTTCAGTCTTCAAAACCAACCTATACAAATATTAATTGGAGTTTTGGTTCCCTGTTTAAATTACTTAGGAACTTATAATATTTAGAAATTATTTTTTTTATATAATATTTTTTGTGCGTATCATTTTTATGTATTTAGTGAATTTTCTATCTTGCTACAAAACAGTAAGTCTACTCATTAAAATATGGCATTGAATGTTGAATATTTTTGTGATGTATGTCATCTTTCGATGACATTTGAATATTGAAAACTTTTGTAATGTATTTTCTTTTTTCTTTTTTGAGCTCATTGAATATCATAAATCTTTATTATTTTCAGGAAATCAAATATTATTTATATTTTTTGTTTTACAACTAAAGTATATTATTTTAATTTTTTTTTTGAATTATACTCATTGGCAGGAGCACAAGTTTAACACACGTATTCAGATTATTTGCAAAATTTAACTGGGATATTTGGATCAAATACTACATAAATAATTTGTTTTCTTATACAATAAAATATCTATAATTATAAAAACTATATAAGTAACTCAGCTAAAATATTTGTTTTGGCAGGTACTATTGAAGGAATGTAATGATATTTTTTTATTTAAATAAATATTTCATTTATCTTGAAGTCAATTGTTGTTGCACATAATTATTTTATTGGTAGATATAAAATTCATGCAAGACAGACACAGATACGCTAAATGTGAACATATTTACTAGCAAGAAGGATTTCCTACCAAAAAGCTTAAACATATCACTAACTTTTAAAGGAAAAACATTCAAGTCTATTAAATATATGTACAATTAAATGTTAAATCAGATTATCTCTTATGTAATATGATTATATTAGTCAACAATTTCATGTTAAGAGAGGCAAATATAAGGAATAAACTTCTAGATCTGTTAAGTAATTATTTAGGACTAGTTAATTTTTAACTATTGTGCCAAAGATGAATATTGATGCAGCAGGTGCAAGGGGTAAATGTGCAGCATGTAGGTACCAAAGAAAACGATGTGAGGAGAATTGTCCGTTAGCTCCATTTTTTCCTTCCAATAAAGTGGAAGATTTCAATAAAGTTATTCGACTTTACAAAGTAAGCACTATCATAAATATGCTTAATTCTGTTGCTGACAATGAGAAAAAGGCAAAAATGGTGGAAACCCTAATTTTAGAGGCTAAGATTAGGTATGAAAATCCTGTGTACGGGTGCATTGCCGTTGAAGAAAAATTGAGGTTAGAAATTGAAGAAACTATGAAGGAGCTTGATTTAGTGCAGAAAGCAAATGCTTATTTCAAAGAACTGCGTAAAACATCATTGTATTACAAGGTAAATTTTTTTCTTTAATTTCTATATATTCAAAATGATCAATTAACGAACATGATACATCACTTGCTCTTTGACTTACCAATTGAGATCTTTTGATTCTATATTTATTAATTAGTTGTCAAACCATGAACGAATGATATGTATTTTCAATTTTCATTGTTATGATTAAATTATTTGATTTAATATCAATATCTCGTTCATATAAGTACTTTTTTATATATAAAATTTAGTATTCAAAGAACTTTACAAACAAAAAAACTAGCAGATTTGGACAGTTGGCCCCAAGTCTTGCTCAAGCACCATAAACATTTAACCAATACATTATCTATCATATTTAAGGATATACATTAAGGTCATGTAATCTCCTGGACTGGCTAGTGTAGGTTGATATGATCCTCCGTAATAATTATGTACCCATACCATCCACAATTTGTCCTTTTTCTTGCATAAGTTTCATAGTAGGTTTTCAACATCAGCTTTGCTGTATACCTCTAGGAAGTTCACACCTCCAATGGATTTGAGGCAACATAACTTTTCCCAAGAAATCAATACTTTCTTAGAGGCATCAACATATTCAGTTCATAAAAACCTTTTGCAAATAGATTCAATGGCTTGTATGATCTTCTTAGGCCGTGCGAAAACTTGTGACTAGAATATTTTTTTGGAACCCCAGGATAACCCGCAGTCGCTACAACCTCTGTCACAGCCTCTGTCCTTCGGGTGCACTTTGTGCGCATTGGGTAAACCCCCACTGTGTAATAGCTTGCAAATCACACAGGGGATGTAAACCGCACTAGGCAAGCCCTATGTGACAGGCTCGACTCAGAAGACATTGAGGGGGGATCGATCTCGGGCGGTACTCTAGGATACTTGAAAGCTAAGGAAGTTCTCCCTTCACAAAGTTTAGCTCTTGAATTACGTGGTCTTGGACATTCATCTTCACCCTTCTAAATTAAATATATGCTACTTTTATCAACATTAACCACCTACTTTAAAGCTTGAGATAAGAACATCTGAAAGCGTTCATAAAGACATTTAACAAATTATTTAACATCATCTCTACAAAATAGTAGTAAGTTGCCTACAATACCATGCAACAATCAGAAAAATATACACATAACATATACCAAATCATATATAAGTTGTGTACTTTTTACACAAACTTGCTCTTGGACTTGCCAATGGTCTTTTGATTATGAATTTATTAATTCGTTGCCTACTATTATTGAATGATTTGTATTTTCACGTAGAAAAGTACGATTAAATTTTTTTTATATATATAAATTCCCCTTCAGAAAAGTACGTACTTATTCTCTATAACACAATTTTTGTTAACCTACAATACAATGCAACAATCAGAAAAATGCATACACACTTAACATATACCAAATCATGTATAAGTTTATGTATTTTTTTACACATAACAGAACTAAATTAAATATTTCACGTAGAAAAATCTATTTTCTATGATAAATGATTAATTTGTCGATTGCACAATTATTTCATTTTGTGCAGAAAAATAAAGAGACCTCTACAAGTGGCACACAAAGCTTTAAAGGGCACAAGTCTGACTCGACTTTGGAAGAAGCTACGAGCATTACTGAGCATCATGCCATTCAAGATGTGGAAACCAGGTCATGTCGTATTATAAATGTTTATATATATGTTTAATCAAATTACTTTTAAGACGATTTTAGAAAAAAATTCTTGAAGGAAATTCTATATATATCAATCCGTATGAACCTTTTTTTTTAAAAAAATTCACCTTTCAAGTAAGAAAAAACTCTAAGAAATTTAATTATACTACCAATTTTGCCTATAAACATTGTGTGCAACGTCTAACATTTGTATTTGTTTTTCTATACTGTAGGATTGATCTCAATGACAATGACGGGACCTAGGAAGCACTGGGATTTGCAATGAAGATCATAATTTCTATAGATTATGATTTTAAGAAAGTTAGTTTTGGTGACGTAAAATGATATCTGATAAAGTTTATTGATGCTCATGTCTTAGTGTTGAATAAAGAGACGACATAAAAAGTTGGAGAATATTTGAACATTACAATGTCGTTGTGTTTTTATTTAAAATAATTTATCCTCACGTGCCTTGCACGTATAAGTTGAACTATTGGTACACTGTTTTAAAAAAAATTATCTATTAAATCAAGTCTTTGAGTTTATAATGTTTATATATGAAAGACATAAGAATAACATACAAGATTCTGTGAATATTATCAATATGAATTATCATATAGTGACTTGTTTGATGATGATTGTACATATATTATGCATCAATCCTAGCAAAGTAACTATCTGGAGCACTAGCAATATTTTGCTAGGTGCCACCAAAAGTACTGCTACTATTTGAATCACATAATGACTCTTTAAGCTTTAACAAAAAGTTAGTGTTTGGCGGGATTTTTTAAATATTTATGAAAAAATAAATTTGGGTTAAAGTTAGAAGGCATAATACATAAATATGACTCTTAACTTGGCTTCAACTGAAAACTATGACATTTAAGTTTGTCAGTGCATAAGTAGGCACACTAACTATTCATAACTTAAACAAATAAACACTCGAATATTGCAGGTCATAGAAAAACTTATTTATCAGAATTGCAATTTAAATGTTGTATTCTTTCTCAGTATACAAATTAATTACAATGGAAATCTATATATACAAAACTATGGTTATCAATGTAGTCGACATCGTCACGTCATCTAGTCATGCCTCATTGCCATTCTCAAACCGCAATAGAAAAAAAAATGATTCTTTGAAATTATAATTTGTTGATTAGTGACCACTAGAAATTTTGTATTAGAATCTCACTATCAAGAAAATTGGACGGGGTCATTTATGTAAGTCAACTCGAATTCATATCTAAAAAATTTGTGTATACATATTTGTATTATATACATTTAATTTGTAATATTAATAAATAAAAGAAATGAGACAACTACTAAGATTATTTCTAAAAAAATTGCATCCCTTTAGAATTATAAAAAATGTTGTCTTAACATAAATCATTTTTTGGTAAATTCTTCCCCAAAATCAAGAACAAACTTATGTAATTATTTTGACGTAGTTCATATGTCAAAACCATGTAATTGCATTATAAGATTAGTAAAATAAATTCAATAATGTTTTTGATAAATTATTCACACTATATATGTAACGTCATTTTCATCTTTAGTTCTATATATGAAACCCTTTGCTCAATATGTGTTTTTAATTTCCATTGTTATCTTTCAAAAAAAAAAAAAACATGCAGCTTAGGCAACTTCCTTTTTTTATTTCATTTATGCTAATTTTGACATTAGCCACTCCCCAAATTATCCCCTCTAACACCACTTCTCCTCCGCCCACAAACACCACATCTCCGCCAACCACCACCACCACCACCACGATCACTAAAGCTGCGATCATTACAAAAGCAGGATGTCCGAAAAAGTGTGGGAACCTAACAGTTCCATACCCTTTTGGGATTGGCTTAGGATCTGGTTGTGCCTTGGACCCGAATTTTGAAATCAATTGTGATACTAATACAACAGATTCTCCAACACCATACATAGGGAATATTCCAGTGTATGACATCTCTGATGCTGAAATGCGCGTATCGACTAACATAAATCGGAGGTGTTATTCATCGACGGGCATGTTGCTTCGAAATGATCCTTCTTGGATGAATTTAGGAACCTCGAGTCCTTACAGTTTCTCTACCCTCAACAGGTACGTACCTAATTATAAATTTTCTCTTGAAACCTTATAAACTTGAATTTTGAATTCACCTATATATATATATATATATATATATATATATATACAGGTTCACCGTTGTTGGTTGTGATGAAGCTGCTATAATATTTGGAGGTGACTTTGGTAATGGCTGCCCCACGGTCTGTATTAGTACGAGTCAGGTAACTGAAGGAAGGTGTATGGGTAATGGTTGCTGCCAAATAACAATACCAAAAGGCTTGAAAATTTTCAACACAACGATGCAAAGTTTGAAAAATCACACTGGAGTTTGGTCTTTCAATCCATGTGGCTATTCATTTCTTGGTGAAGCTACTCGATTCGAATTCATGGGTTTACAAGATCTACGCGATCTTAATTTTAAAAAGAGGTCTTTGGATAATGTCCCGATTGTGTTAGATTGGGCTATTGGAACTCTTAGTTGTGTTGAAGCACAGAAGAGTAGTAACGATTATGCTTGTTTGAATAATAGCCAATGTGTTGATTCCAACACTGGCCTTGGTGGTTATAGGTGTGCCTGTAACCCGGGATATGAAGGCAATCCATATATCGGCCCAGGTTGTCAAGGTAACTTCATTTCTCTACTTCCCTCACATGTTTCAACTTCCTTTTATTTGTAAAATTATATGATAAGTACTGTAAAATGTAATTCTTCTCAAGTCAATACGATAAACAAGTTAATTTTAAAATGTTTGTCAAACTTCGCATGCATAATCTTAGTTATAAGACAAGAGAGAGTTATTCGAATGATAAGCACCCTTAACTTTCAACCTTTAAGGTTGTGAGTTTGAGTCACCAAGAGAACAAAGGTGAGAGCTCCTGGGGGGAAGGAGAGAAAAATAAAATTAAAAAAAATTATTATAAATTGGGACAAAGAGAATAAAACTATTTTATTGGGGGGAAAAATAACAATTTGAGTTAAGACTTTTTTGAGGTGAATCAGTCTAGCAATGAGGTCTCTATTAACTTATCATTTTTTTTTAATATAGAAATGATTAAATATTCAAAGTTGTACAAATATTAGTTAGCTTTTAAAATATTTAAGATATGTGATAATGAATATGGTTTAAATACTTGGAAAAGGAGTGACGCTAATTAAATACTCCTACTTGCCATTAGTTAACAAAATAATGTTGGACCGTACAACTTCAAAAGTAAATATGTAAAAAATAAAGATAAAAAAAACTTAGTGTCACAAATTAATTTATTTGATTCACCAGCCAACGTAATATATAATGAAAAGAAATTACTATCTAATGTCATGATTTTCATTTCACCTTATTGATCGATTAATCTTTCTTTAATTTTTGGTGACGCATCGTTTGGTTAATTGTACCAGATATTGATGAATGTGCGAATCCAAATACCAATTCGTGTGAACAAAATTGTATAAACATACCGGGGAGTTACAATTGTTCATGTCCAAAAGGGTACACTGGTGATGGAAGAAAGAATGGTCGTGGTTGTATTGCACCAAACTCGAACTCAGAGTTCCCATGGATTAAGTTTTCCGTTGGTAAGTTTCTCAGAAATTCGACTTGTCTCTACTTGCATATAGATAAACGTACTGATTTTTATTTCAATTTATCTGTCTTAGTTTGACTGGACGCGAAATTTAAGAAAATAAATTTGTTGGATAAACACAGGTATGGGAGTTGGTTTTATGTCCCTAGTAGTTGGGACAACTTGGCTCTATTTCAGCATCAAGAAAAGAAAGCTCATTAAACTTCGCGAGAAATTCTTCCAACAAAATGGTGGTTTGCTGTTGAAACAACGAATATCTTCTAACGAGGGTGGTGTGGAAGCAACCAAAGTTTTTACAGCAGAAGAGTTGAAGAAGGCTACAAACAACTATGCTAGTGATAGAATTCTTGGTCGTGGTGGAAATGGAATTGTCTATAAAGGTATACTACCCGATAATCTCATAGTTGCTATTAAAAAGTCTAAGTTTGTGAACGAGGATCAAATTGAACAGTTCATCAATGAGGTTCTTATTCTTACTCAAGTCAACCATAGAAACGTGGTGAGACTCTTTGGATGTTGTTTGGAAGCCGAAGTTCCTTTACTAGTTTACGAATACATTTCTAACGGTACTCTTTACGAGCATATCCACAACCAAAATGGAGCACCTTGGTTATCATGGAAGAATCGGCTAAGAGTTGCTAGTGAGACAGCAAGTGCACTTGCTTACCTTCATTCATCCGCGTCAATGCCTATAATTCATAGAGATGTCAAGTCTGCCAATTTATTGTTAGATGATGTTTACACCGCGAAAGTGGCAGATTTTGGAGCTTCAAGACTAATTCCTCTTGATCAAACACATATTGCTACATTGGTTCAAGGGACATTAGGATACCTAGATCCTGAATATTTTCGTTTAAGTAAATTGACCGAGAAAAGTGATGTTTATAGTTTTGGAGTAGTCCTTGCAGAACTTCTAACAGGGATAAAACCTATTTCGAGGGATAAAAATAATGAGGACAAGAATTTGGCAGAGTACTTCATTTTGTCCATGAGAAAGAATCAATTGTTTCAAATTCTTGATCGTAGAGTGGTAAGAGAAGGAAGCCTTGAACAACTCCAAAAGGTGGCTGAGCTAGTGAAAAATTGTCTTAGATTGCACGGTGAACATAGGCCTACGATGAAGGAAGTAGCAATGGAACTTGAGAGTTTGCGAAAGTTCACAAAAAATAACCTTTGGGCTGATGGACACGGACATGAAGAGAACGAAGATGAATCAACAGATCTTTATACAATTCCAATTGACTCGACTACAGGTATCAACAAATTCTCTGGACAATACAGTTCCAACTCCAACACAAATAGCAGCATGTTTACTTCATTGATATATACTAGTACAAATATTCCGCGGTGATCTAAAGAAGGCAAAAATAGTTCTTCAATGTTGAATTTTCTAATGTAAATTTTTGGTTTTGATTTGTATTTTTCTCTTTGGATTTTGGATAGACAGAAAACTGTTTCTTCCCGAATCTATTTGCTTTTGAATTTTTAGTTTCTCATTTTACTATTGTTGTAAAATCTGTATATATTTGTTAAATTTGTTTATGTTCAATTTAGTTCAGAAGGTTGATAAAATAATTTAGAAAAAGAACTCGATAAACAAAATGGGAACTGAATTGATCTAGGTAAATTCGAAGCCCAGAATGGAATGAATCAATTCTGCCACTGAAATGAATGTAAGCCCTTCATGAATGCTTGTACCATTCAAAGTTTTAACGAATGACATAGATGAGTCTTTCGATGGCATATTTGAGTGTTATCCCTAAAAAGAATTAACATAAACTGTACAACAATAGTATAAACAACAAATTTCTCACATAAAACGAGAAAAAAATACATTTAAAAGCTAGCTAAAGTAGGATAGTTTCCGATGTAAACAAAAATCATGAAAGTACAAATCAGTGAATCACAAACAAGAAAATTACATCAAAAAAATCAAAGCGCATAATCTTTATCAATCATCAAATTGCCCTTCTGTTGTGGATCAATGGGCTATTTGTGTTAGAAGTACTACCTGAACTATATTGTCCAGAAAAATTGCTGCTATTTGTATTGGAATTCGAACTATATTGTCCAGAGAAATTGTCGATGTCTGTATTAGAGTCTATTGGAATTGTATAAAGATCTGATAATTCATCTCCGTTCTCTTCATGTCCGTTTACATTAGCCCAGGGGTTATTTTTGGTGAACTTTCTCAAATTTTCAAGTTCACTTGCTACTTCTTTCATGGTAGGCCTATCTTCTCCGTGCAAACTAAGACAACTCTTCACTAGCTCAGCCACCTTTTGGAGCTGCTCAAGGCTTCCTTCTCTTACAACTCTACGATCAAGAATTTGAAACAATTGATTCCTTCTTATAGACAAAACAAAATACTCTGCCAAATTCTTCTCCTCATTTCTGTCCTTTGAAATAGGTTTCATCCCTGTCAAAAGTTCGGCAAGAACTACTCCAAAACTATAAACATCGCTTTTCTCAGTCAATTGACTTGTGCGAAAATATTCAGGATCTAGGTATCCTAATGTCCCTTGAACCATTGTAGCAAGATGTGTTTGATCAACAGGGATTAACCTTGAAGCACCAAAATCTGCCACTTTCGCTATGTAAACATCATCCAACAATAAATTGGCAGACTTGACATCTCTATGAATTATAGGCATTTGAGCGGATGAATGAAGGTAAGAAAGTGCACTTGCTGTCTCACTAGCAACTCTTAGCCGATTTTCCCAAGATAACCAAGGTTCTCCATTTCGATTGTGGATATGCTCGTAAAGAGTTCCATGAGAAATGTATTCGTAGACAAGTAAAGGAACTTCAGCTTCCAAACAACATCCAAAGAGTCTCACCACATTTCTATGGTTAACTTGAGTAAGAATAAGTACCTCATTAATGAACTGTTCAACCTGTTCCTCGTCCATAAACTTAGATTTCTTAATAGCAACTATGCGGTTATCAGGTAGAATACCTTTATAGACGATTCCATTTCCACCACGACCAAGAATTCTATCACTAGCATAGTTGTTTGTAGCCTTCTTCAGCTCCGCAGCTGTGAAAATTTTGGTTGCTTCCACACTACCCTCGTGAGAAGACATTCGTTGTTTCATAAGCAAACCACCATTTTGTTGGAAGAAATTCTCGCGAAGTTTAATGAGTTTTCTTTTCTTGATGCAGAAATAGAGCCAAGTTGTCCCAATTACTAGGGACATAAAACCAACTCCCATACCTGTGTTTATCGAACGAATTTATTGGAATTAGAAATATAAGAGAAGGGAAAGTAGAGACAAGTTGAAATATCTTAGAAACTTACCAACAGAAAACTTGATCCATGGGAACTCTGAGTTTGAGTTTGGTGCAATACAACCACGACCATTCTTTTTGCCATCACCGGTGTATCCTTCTGGACAAGAACAATTGTAACTCCCAGGTATGTTTGTGCAAATCTTTTCACATGAATTGGTATTTGGATCCGCACATTCATCGATATCTGGCATGCAAAACAGAGAAAATTAATCCCAGACGTGTTGTCCTTTTTATTTGTTTCTTTTAGATACTTACTATCAAAGTTGGAATTAAAGAGTTGTTATAAAATGAAACTGACATTATTTTTAAACAGACTAAAAGAGAACGTATAATAAACAAATTGAAACAGAGGGAAAAAAAGAGACAAACTTCTTATAAACAAGAGAAAGTCCAAACATGTGAGAAAGCAGAGAGACCAAATTACCTTGGCAGCCAGAGCCAATGTATGGATTGCCTATATATCCCGATTTACAGCCACACCGATAGCCACCAATGCCAGTATCAGAATCAATACACTGGCTATTATCGAGGCAAGCATAATCGTTACTTTTTTGTGCTTCAACACAAGAAAGATTTCCAATGGCCCAATCTAGCACAATAGGGACATTATTCTTAATCTTCTTTGCAAAATTAACATCACTGAGATCCTCTATACCCTGGAACTCAAATCGACTAGCTTCACCAACAAACGAATATCCACATGGATTAAACGACCAAATTAAGCTATGATTTTTTGTCGTTACCATAGTTGTATTGAAATATTTCAACCCTTTTGGTATTGTTATTTGGCAGCAACCAAAACCCATACATTTTCCTTTAACTATATTATTGGTGCTTATGCAGATAGAGGGGCAATTATTAACGAAGTCATTTCCACTAATTACACCACCATCATCACAACCAACCACGATGAATCTGCAGAGGCAAATTTACAATTTAGAGTCAGTAAATTTATGGTACATTTGTTGACTTTACTCTTCAAAATGAGTTGAAATAATGTAACTCAACATGTCAAACTGCAATCCAAATTTAAATATACAAAACTAGATTTGAAATTTAAGAATTATGTAAACTTAAAAGAATATAAATTGGTTTTCTTTTAGCCTTTCTTTCATAAGGGGGAAGTTTGGTCGTCATTTTCAATTTGATTGTTAGCTTAGTGGGTATGGGTTGGGTTAAAAGAGGTAACGGGTAGTTTAAATGAAATCGAGTATTTTTTGGTCGATTAGGGTTTTTTCATCTGATCAGGAGTAATTTTATTAAGTTTAATAACAGTAGGGGTATAAATTATGACGAAGGACAAGACTAACTGATAAACGAAAGTAACAGGATATCTTTTTTTTAAAAACTAGTATCCCCATTTTTGACACCCTTACATGTTGGACTGGTTAATTTATGACTCATCTTAATTCACCCATTATTATCTAAGCAAATTTTGATTGATTAGGCATGACATATTTATTTATTTATTTAATCCATTTAGTATAACTGTACATGAGCATATTTAAGAATCATTTCGCGCACATATATATATGATTGAAGCAGAAAATAAAAACTTCAGTTGAATCGATAATACCTATTGAGCGAAGAAAAACTGTAAGGACTTGATCTTCCTAAAGTTATCCAAGAAGGAATATCTTGAATTAAAACTCCTGTTTGTGAGTAACACTTTGTATTTATGAAATTTGTTATACGCATTTCCGTATCTGAGATATCGTAAATTTGAATATTCCCTAAGAATGGTGTTGTAACGTTGCATTCGATCTCAAACATGGGGTCTAAGGCACAACCTGACCCAATTCCAAACGGATATGGAACTGTAACGTTTCCACACTGTTTTGGACATCCTGGTTTTGTGATGTTAGCAGCTTTGGTGATTGTGTTGGCATTGGTTGGCGGAGAAGTGGTGTTTGTGGGAGGAGATGTGGTGTTAGAAGGGATAATTTGGGCGGTGGCTAGTGTTAAGATTAGCATAAAACAGGGGAGTTGGAAAGAAAACAGAGCAACTTGATTATGCTGCATGGTTTTGAAATATTATTATGGAAATTACAAGGACGTATTGACTAAAAGGTTACATATATAGGACTTAGGGGAACCGTTTGGTAGAATAATACTGCATAGGGTGTATTAGTAACGTTAAAATTAGTTATCTTTGGATTATTTCCTATTTGTAGTTTCATTTAGAGAGACTTATTATAAACACTTTTAAATTTGACGCAAATTATTAGTTTCATACCGAACTATTGACAGTCTTTAAAACACATATCTACTTGACTAACTAAACTTAAATACACCTCCGAGAGAAGTGTTGAAAACACCCCTAAACTTGGTGAGAATTTAGGGGTGTATTTTACTCATGTTGCAAGATTCTGAGGTGTATTTAAGTTTAATTAGTCAAGTAAATAAGTATTTTTAAGACTCAAGAATTCGAGGATGAAACTAATAATTTACATTAAACTTTAGGTATTTTCAATACATCTCTACTTCATATGGTAGAATGTGTTATGTTTATTTGTCCTTACCCACACTTATCCATATATTTAGATTATCTAACACACAAATGTTTTAAATTTCTTGATTATGATATTTAAAAATATTTTCTTTTGAAAATAAGTTACTTAAAAATGAAACATCTCTAACAAATAAGGAAAATAAGTTTCACAAACTCTATTTCACATTGATCATGTTCTCTTCATTCTTAAACACATTTTATTTTCACCTCATTCTCGTAGCTTCTATTCCCACCACTCCTATCCTCGATCTCCACTTTTCATAATATTTGTCTAAATAACATAGCAATGTGAAAATGACCTTAGAATAAAAGATCTCTAGTGGCCTAGTGGGAATGACAACTAGGCAATAATAGATAAAAATTTCGAAGGCGTTGACAATCGTAGTTTTGTCTTCTTAACAATGTGCCCACCAAACAACGAAGACTTTGACTAAACCAAAGTCGACAAGGAATCATTTAAATGCATGCAATGTTAGCAATTGATGGAAATTGATACGAATATTACTTCAGTTGTTTACTAAATACTACATTAAAAATAGATGTCTTGCTTAAAAATTATGAGATAAGCGGATTTAAAATTTTCACTCAAAATAAATTTTGAACTCCTAACAATTAAGTCAACTTCTAATCTTGTATTCAAGAGATTCAAAATCTATATATATATATTTATTTTTTTATTTTATTTTAAAATGTATATATCTATATTTAAGGGTTTGAGTGATCACCCTCACCACCCTTAGATCCGGCCGGAGTGAATAGCATGTATATATCGTCGAGCTATGAATAAGTTGATTCGAAGTTCACTGTTATTGAAAAAATAAATCTTTAAGATGAATTCTTTGAATTACGTTATCTTGTTAGTATAAACTATTTTATAGTCAACGTTCTAACTTTTTATCCTTTCTGTCACAATAAGTCAATGCATGCACCATTATGAAGCATTCTTATGACAATACATATTGGTTGGCAGTGCCTATTTTTGCAGTTTTATATTAACTTCTCTTAAGATTTTTCTTTATTTTAATCTTGATGATTAATACAATTTTCTTGTCAAATTGTTTGAAAAATAACATATAACTCAATTCCTCTTCTTTACCAATGTGCCATTTCTTCAAGTCATTTTTGTATAAACATATGGCAAGTTCTCTTGTATGCATTCAGCAAGTCCTTTGAATCTAGTGTATTCAAATTTCAAAGGCATCTAGTTAGAAAAAAATAATAGCCACATCGATTTTATGATACATTATAAAATATTTTTTAATAGTTCACGACTATTTATTCTCTCATAAGTGATTTGTAAAGAGTAATATGAAACATCGGTAAATAAATCACATACTTATATGTATAGTTATTTTCCTTTATTTAAATTGTAACTGGTTATAGGAGACCTCTCTCGATCGTCCAATGCTATCCTAAATTAGTTGCTTGTGTACTTTTAATTGGAGGGGGAATCAAATTTGATTTACTAGCACAACATCAAAAATGATTTTTATTAGCAATTAATTAATGACAATTAGTACTTTTTATAAATGTCCCTAAAACCTATAGCGATATTTGATCTATTGACTATTGACAATTAACTAATACTGGTAAAAAATTTAGCACTTTTTATTAATGTACATTCTTATCACAGTAATAGAACTTTCATTCATTAGTCAATTTATCATATGAGATTAGCTAATTACAAAAAGAAAAATATTTAGTTCAACTCTTCGTAAGCAAACCACTTAGAGGAATTTGTTATATTTGAAACTCTGAAAATACAAATCATATAAAATCTTTCAATAACGAAGAAAGAGTGCATGGGAGAAGAAAATATAATCTTCATCAATCATTATATTCACCTTCTGATCACCGCGGGATATTTGTATGAAATATTAATGAAGGACTATACGAACTATATTGTCCAGTAAAGTCGTTGTCTGTATTAGAGTCGATTGGATCAATTGTATAAAGATCTCTTACTTCATCTTCATTCTCTTCGTCTTCATGTCCATTAGCCCAAGGGTTATTTTTTGTGAACTTTCTCAAACTTTCAAGTTCCATTGCCACTTCTTTCGTAGTAGGCCTATCTTCTCCGTGCAAACTAAGGCAACTCTTAACAAGCTCAGCAGTCTTCTGAAGTTGCTCAAGACTTCCTTCTCGTACCACTCTACGATCAAGAATCTGAAATAAGTTATTTGTGATCATGGACAAGACGAAATAGTCTACCAAACATTTGTCCTTCTCATTTTCGTCCTTCAAAATAGGTTTCAACCCTGCCAAAAGTTCAGCAAGAACTACTCCAAAACTATAAACGTCACTTTTCTCTGTCAATTGACCTGAGTGGAAATATTCGGGATCCAAGTACCCTAACGTTCCTTGAACCATCGTAGCAACATGTGTTTGATCAAGAGGGACTAATCTTGAAGCTCCAAAATCTGCCACTTTGGCTGTGTAAACATCATCCAACAATAAATTGGCAGACTTGACATCTCTATGAATTATTGGCATTGACGCGGATGAATGAAGGTAAGCAAGTGAACTTGCTGTCTCTGCAGCAATTCTCAACCGATTTTCCAAAGATAACCAAGGCGCTCCATTTTTGTTGTGGATATGCTCGTAAAGAGTTCCATTAGAAACGTATTCGTAAACCAGTAAAGGGACTTCAGCTTCCAAACAACACCCAAAGAGTTTCACTACATTTCTATGGTTAACTTGAGTAAGAATAAGTACCTCATTGATGAACTGTTCAATTTGATTCTCATCCACAAACTTAGATTTCTTAATTGCAACTATGTGATTATCGGGTAGTATACCTTTGTAGACAATTCCATTTCCACCACGACCAAGAATCCTATCGTTGGCGTAGTTGTTTGTAGCCTTCTTCAACTCTTCAGCTGTAAAAATTTTGGTTGCTTCCACACCACCCTCGTTAGAGGAGATTCGTTGTTTTAAGAGGAATCCGCCATTTTGTTGGAAGAACTTCTCCCTGAGTTTCATGAGTTTTCGTTTCTTGAAGCTAAAATAGAGCCAAGTTGTTCCAAGCACTAGGGACATAAACCCAACTCCCATACCTGCACTTAGTAGAACAGATGTTAATTAAATCATCCTGCTAATATAATTAAAACCTTTACAAATATGATGATCACTATATCAAATTCACACACAATTTATTGGAAATCTTAGGGAAAATACTTTATTATGAATAGGAAATTCTACTACAATCATTTTTCCAACAACACAATTTAAACTGGATTAAGAATTGTTAGAGTTCACGATGAGGAACTTACCAACAGAAAACTTGATCCATGGAAACTCAGAGTTTGAGGTTGTTGCATTACAACCACGGCCATTCTTTTTGCCATCACCAGTATATCCTTGTGGACATGAACAATTGTAACTGCCCGGTATGTTTATACAATTTTGTTCACACGAATTAGTATTTGGATTCGCACATTCATCAATATCTAGCATACAAATTAAATTAAAGCAAGAGAAAATATAATCATTCATTTTATGAATTCAAGTTATACGACACAGGGCTAGTACGTGTAATTGTACCTTGACAGCCGAGGTAAGGATTTCCTTCATATCCCAGGTTACATCTGCACCGATATCCACCTAAGCCGGTGTCAGAATCAACACATTGGCTATTACCTCGACAACCATAATCATCGCTTTTTTGTGCTTCAACACAAGTAAGATTTCCAATAGCCCAATCCAACACAATGGGGACATTATTGACAATCCTCTCAACAAAATTCAAATCATTTAGATCCTCCATGCCTCGGAATTGGAAACGACTAGCCTCACCAAGAAACGCGTAGCCACATGGATTAAACGACCAAATTCTACTGTGGTTTTTCAAGCTTTGCATTGATGTGTTGAAATATTTCAACCCTTTTGGTATTTGTATTTGGCAGCAACCGGAAGCCATACATGTACCATCGACTACCTCAGATGAGCGTGTACAGGTTGTGGGACAGCCATTCACGAATTTAGTACCACTTATTATAGCAGTATCATCACATCCAACAACCGTAAATCTGTCACAAATTTAAAGTTAATCAGTTCGAACAGAATACTGAATTCAAACATAAGGACTTCTTTTGTGATTTTTGAAATAAAATTTTACATATTTACATATTACAAAAAAAGGTCCTAACATTAATCATAATGTCACATGAAAAAAATCACTTCCAAATAGTAATATTGTCACATGAAATAAATCAAAAGCAACAAACATCTAGTTATTTATTTTTGCATTCCGAGTCATTTTTATAACGATAAGGGTATATATCAGTTTTAAATTGCAAAGTTGAGGAATATATACGAGGATTCAACGTAATTGAACCTGTTAAGGGTAGAGAAACTATAAGGAGTTGATCTTCCTAAAGTGACCCATAGCGGATATTCCACGAGCTTAAGTCCTGCTGATGTGTAACATGTCTCCGCTATGAAATTAAATAACCGCATTTCCGTGTCAGAAATGTCATATACTTTGATGTTCGATGCATAGAGTGTTGCAGTCCCTGTCGATTTGTTACAACCAATCTCAAAATTCGGGTCAATGGCACAACCTGAACCTAACCCAATCCCAAAAGGATACGGAACTGTGAGGTTCCCACACTTCTTTGGACATCCTGGTTTTGTGATATTCGCACCTTTTGTAATGGTGGTGGTCGTGGTGGTGTTGGTGTTGGTGGGAGGAGACGTTGTGTTAGTGGTGGTTTGAGCAGTGGCTAATGTCAAGAATATTAGAAAGAAATGAAGTAGAAGCAATTGACTTTGCTTCATGATTTTGAAAAAATTAATTTCATTTGAGGTGTTTAATTTCATCATATATAGAAATATAGAATAAACAATTTGAAAATAAACTTTGCTATTGCTATTTGGATGTAAAATTTAATTATTTTTATGGTTCGTATAATGTAATTGCAATCATTGAAATTATATATTATCAATGCACTAAAACCAGCTGTTGAATGTTTTCTCTTTCTCTATATATTTTTTTGTTAAGTTGCCAGCTTCTTGTTATTGTATAAAGATCAATTGATGGCGTAAAAATTATTTATACTGCCAAATGTACGAAACATTCTCGAGATTTAAGCAATTGCATGTTGATATAACTAGTAAATATGTTTCTCCCTATGTTGATATATATATTTTATTGTTTAAGGAAAATATACACTTATTTTTTATTCTTCCTGACCAAAAAAGGGGAGTAGAAATTTTGCCTACTAACAGGATATATCTTCTTATACAAGGACGTTTTGTATAATCTAAGAAGACAAAAGATTTTTGTTTTTACTACTAAAGCATATGCCTATTTAAAAAGTTCGAAGACGTTGACAATTAGAGGTTTATTTGATCTAATCATTTGCCCACCAAAGTTTAGTCAATTTCAAAAAAAAATGATCTAATTTAATTTGATATGGAGTTCAAGAAAATAAAACACATTAGATTTTTACAATTTTGTGGTCCTAAATTAAAGTTTGGTCAAATATATTAAAATATCATTTAATCTTGTAGTTTTAAATATGTCACGTCAAAAGTTGAAATTAAAGTGTTTGTCAATAAAGGAAAATGATCATTTATTTTGAATCAGACTAAAAAGAAAAGAAAATCGTTCTTTTTTAAACGGTGAGAGTATATTTTATCCTTACGTCTATCATGCTTACCACAACATATCATGGAACACCACTACTTCCAAACATTTTTAAAGAGAATGCATTTATATAAAAATATATAATGGCCGTGATTGACCAATTTGAAGTTTTATAATGCTTTTTAAGTTTGATTAATCCAACTTTCTTCTCGAATTGTTTGAGAACATCCTGTTTCATGATGTGTGTCTACAGTGGCGGATCTAGAATTTCGTCAAAGAGGTGTCAAAATATAAAGAAATAAAATCGTATAGAAGTCAAGGAATGTCAATATGTAACCTTAACTACATGTGACTCCGCCACTATATATATATTCGAACCCAAAACTTCTTCATTCAAACGGACATCTATCATCACTACGCCAAAAACATTGTGAACTCAAACTGCGGAAATAATTTCTAAAGTTCGATGTACTAAAAGTTCTTGTCAATCATACAATCAACAATATATTGATGATTAAATTCAGAAGCAAATAAAAATACATAACAACATTCAACAAGAAAGAAAGATAGCTAAAAAGGAACTTACAAAACAGAGAAAAATCTTCATATATTGACCTTTTATTCTGGATCGATCACCACGGTAAATTTGTATTGTATAGTAATGAAGAACTATCCGAACTATATTGTCCAGAAAAGATGGTGCTGCTATTTGTGTAGGAGCTAGGATATTTTCCAGAGAAGTTGTCCATACCTATATTAGAATCAATTGGAATTGTATAAAGATCAACTTCCTTCTCATCTTCATGTTCCTTTCCATTAGTCCAAAGGCTAGTGAACTTTCTTAAACTCTCAAGTTCCATAGCCACTTCCTTCATCGTAGGCCTATCTTCTCCGTGCAAGTGAAGGCAACTCTTAATGAGCTCAGCTATCTTTTGAAGTTGCTCAAGACCTCCTTCTCTTACAACTCTACGATCAACAATTTGAAATAAGCTATTCTTGTTCATCGATGAGACAAAGTACTCCACCAAACATTTGTCCTTGTCACTAATTGTGTCCCTCAAAATAGGTTTCATCCCTGTTAAAAGTTCTGCAAGAACTACTCCAAAACTATAAACGTCACTTTTGTCTGTCAGTTGACCTGTCTGGAAATATTCAGGATCTAAGTACCCTAACGTTCCTTGAACCAATGTAGCAACACGTGTTTGGTCAAGAGGGACTAATCTTGAAGCTCCAAAATCTGCCACTTTTGCTGTGTAACCATCATCCAATAATATATTAGTAGATTTGACGTCTCTATGAATTATTGGCATCGATGCTGATGAATGAAGGTAAGCAAGTGAACTTGCTGTCTCTGAAGCAATTCTCAACCGATTTTGCAAAGATAACCCATTTTGATTGTGGATATGCTCGTAAAGAGTTCCATGAGAAACGTATTCGTAAACCAGTAAAGGCACTTCAGCTTCCAAACAACATCCAAAGAGTCTCACGACGTTTCTATGGTTTACTTGAGTAAGAATAAGTACCTCATTGATGAACTGTTCAATTTGATTCTCATCTACAATCTTAGATTTCTTAATAGCAACTATACTGTTATCAGGTAGAATACCTTTATAGACAATTCCAGTTCCACCGCGACCAAGAATTCTATCACTAGCATAGTTATTCGTCGCCTTCTTCAACTCCTCAGCTGTAAAAATTTTGGTTGCTTCCACACCACCCTTTTTAGAGGAGATTTGTTGTTTCAAGAGTAAACCACCATTTTGTTGGAAGAACTTCTCCCTACTTTTAATGAGTCTTCGTTTGTTGATACAAAAATAGAGCAAGATTGTCCCAACCACTAGGGATATAAAGCCAACTCCCATACCTGTGTTTATAACAACAGGAAGTGAATTCCTATGATCACTTCAATATATACATATATCTATATATATATATATATCTGAGAAACTTACCAACAGAAAACTTGATCCATGGGAACTCGGAGTTTGTTGCAATACAGACAAGACCATTGTTTTCACCATCATCAGTGTATCCTTTTGGACAAGAACAGTTGTAACTCCCCAGCGTGTTTATACAATTGTTGTGTTCACACTTATTGGAAGTTGAATTTTGACATTCATCAATATCTAACATGCCAAACAGAGAAACATACCACATTAATTTAATCCCTTTGGCTATGTCTCTATATCTTCTTTGTTTTACAACTAGCACAAGTTGTGATTATACCCGACGAAAATTCCAGGATTAATTACTTTGTCATTAATGGCAACTATGAGTATCTAATTAAGCATAACATATGAATCAGAATCTACTTCAACCGATATGCCCCAAGGCACGGCCATACATAACATAGAAATCACACTTAGAAAGGATGGACAATTAGGCCATGTTTCTCAATATAAACTTGTCTCCGACTAATATTATGCAAAATAAAAAAAATTAGCATTTTTTTTCGTGCTTTTACTCTCTCAAAGAGAGTGTATTAGATTTTCTTTGTCACCTAAGCACTCAGGGTAGAGTAATTCTAGTTTAAAAAATATATTTTAGAAGGGATATAGGACTCTTGCAAAGTTTGCGTGTGTAATAATAATTTTGATTATAATTGGATTGTCTTTTGAACCATATTTCCTAAAGAAAATGAAAGAAAAAAAAGTTTAAATATAAGGCAAAATATTTTTAGTAAAATTACATGTATTAACTTAGTTTAAATACAAGATAAAGAAAATATCTTCTTAAATTTGATATTCGGTTTCTATATTGGAGCTCTGATTAAATCTAAATCATGCACTGCAAGACCCATTTTAAGGTGACGCTCCTAACAAAATTTTCTCTATACTCAAAGTTCGAAACTTAAAATCTCTAATTAAAATTGGAATAGTACCTCCCCACTATACCACAAGTCAGGTTGATGGGTGACTATTATATATTGGTAAGTGTTTGAATTAGTCAAATTTTGATGAGAGCAAAACCTTAGTGAGGAGTCAACTTCACCTCTATCGTTATGGCCACGCTTCAATCAGGCAGATAATTAGGTACTTCGATTCATTAATTTCTAGTGTGTGGTGTTAAAAAGGCACTCACTATCCTACAATAAATATAAATGTCCCTATGATTTTGATATCCTACCCTTCTTGACACCCAACCTACTAAAGTATTTCTTTTCTTATTTTCAATTTATACCTCTTACTTTTTTTAATTCCTCCATTTCAATTGGTTTATAGGGAAAAGACTCAAATATGTATCAAACTTTAAATAAACGTTCATTTGTGCCATTTATTAAATGTTTGGCTCATCTGTGTCATTTCCATTTGAGGAAAGGTTCATCCGTGCCGTTGATTATTAACTGAAATTACATAGATGAGCCAAACTTTTAACGGATGACGTAGATGAGCCTTTTCTCAAAGTTCGGCGACATATTTGAGCCTTTTCTCTTTTAAAAATGATGTAATTAATGACGTGACCGAATCATAATTGACCACCTATAAAAAATAGTTTCGCAAAATCAGAACTATTTTCAGTTAACAAATAATGACATAGATGAGTCTTTTCTCAAACAGAAATGGCATAAATGAGCAAACTTTTAACGGATGGCATAGATGAGCTTTTTCTCAGAATTCAGTGGCATATTTGAGTTTTTCCCCTTGTTTATATGATTTTGAATTGACACAAAATTTTAAAAAAGTAAAAAAGTAATAATTGAATTTCCTGGTTTTAAGCTAAAAATATGTAGGAAAGTATTGAAATGTCCTTATTGATCTTATGATATTTCTCCTTGTTTATATGATTTTGAATTGACACAAAATTTAAAAAAAGTAAAAAAGTAATAATTGAATTTCCTGGTCTTAAGCTAAAAATATGTAGGAAAGTATTGAAATGTCCTTATTGATCTTATGATATTAAACATATCATATAGAAAGCTGAAATTAAAGAATTATCTAAAAAAAAAAATTCTATTCAAAACGAACTAAAAAACACCAAATTAAAATGGATGGAGTAATATATATGAAAAGAATATCACTGTACTAGTAAGAGTATGGAAATAAAATAATTCGTTGAAGTTTATCTAGCTTGCCTCAGTCGGGGGCGGAGCCAATTTTAATAATTTCGACTCCGTCACTGACTTCAACCTGAGTACTAAAAGTAAGAAATCAAGTTACCTAGATGGATATCTAGCTTGCCTCAGCCGGGA